TTTAAAGGATAAATTTCAATAATATTCTTCTATTTTATCTCTAGTCTACTTTTTTATTACTTTTTTAATAAGAAAAAGAGATTTAAAAGTTTATAGCATGTGCATTTTTGGAAATTTGGCATTTTTTTACTACTCCTTAATAAGCGTGTCAAGTCATCATCGACAACTTTTATTTATTCAGTGCTTCTTTGGTGTATTTTAGGTGCATATCATTTTTTGTGGATTTTCTCACATAAAAAATCTTTTTTTTATTTTTTAATTAAAAAAACATATGCTTGTTGAAGTAATAAGGAAATACTTATTTTGCTTATATGTATGTCCATGGTGTACCTTAGGTCCACCATAAAATTTACCTTATTTATTTATACATTTTTGTTAATCATTTGATAAAATAAGTTACTTTTGTCACAACGTGAAAAATCTAATCTATTTTAAAGTTATTTAATTTATAAATTGGTATAAAAATAAAAATATAACTTACATATTTCAAAACTAAATCAAAAGTATTATAAAACAGGATGTGACAAAAATATGTTATTTTATTAAATAATCAATACAAATAAATAAATAAATAAAATTATCATAAGACCAAAACAATAATTGAAATAATATTTCTGGGACAAAGGGAGTTTGAGTTAGCAGTGATAAAAGAATAATGCTCAGTAGAATATTCTGAGCACACACAAAATAAATTTTTAAAAAATGATTAGGTACATCTAATCATAGCGTGAATTGTACACCACTCATTGCATTCACCAGTTCTTATCCAGAACTTAATTAGATAAGATATGTCTCATGAATACATGAGTGACATACAATTTGAGGTCCAATTAGATGTATTCAAGTCTCCAAGCATTACTCTAAAATTCTATTGCAAGAGGTGAGAATAGGGGTGTCATGCTCATTCTTTGAACCCATTATAAGCTGTCTAAGAACTTGTTTGGATGTAGAGAAATTGGGAAGAAAGAAAACAAAAAGAGAGAACACAATTTACTAACACATTCTCTTCTTTGGTTATGAGAGAAAATAGAGAGAAAAGAAAAGTATGAAGCGAAAAGAGAGAAAGAGTTTTATTTTTTCATACGCGAGAAAAAATAAAGTAAACTACACATACATTTGCCCTTTTAGCCCTAATCCATCGGTGAGTCGCCTCCATGCTTCTCCACATTCAGGCAAGACAAAAATGTCTTTTTATGTTTTATTATATGTTCTTTCCTTCTACCAAATAAATATTTTCTTTCACTAGGTTGCATCCCAACAAAACTCTCTTCCAACTAGTACCACATAACTTCTAACATACCTTCTAGTGGAAATTCGTTTTTATCCGCTAACAATCTTTCACCCTACTTTCAGTCTACTCTGATTCGAGCACTCACAGACACGGATTTGTTTTAAGAAAAATAAAATTATTGATCTCATTAATCTCACTATTAAGCATTTATTTATTTGGCTTAGATGATCCTAGCTGGATTATACCCCAAGATTTGTTTAACGTGTGTGTCAAGACTTTTCATGACATGTTCATCAACATTTTCAAAAAAATATTTTGAATAGTGATGCTTACATGGTCCTAAAGTTTATATTTAAAATGTGAACGTTCTCAGATTTTTCAGGAGCTTGTATGTGATATTTTCTTTTTTGAAAAAAAACAAACTTCTTTTATGCTACAAATGCATCATGGTCCGTAAAATGAGCAAGCATGAGTCTTAAATTCATGGAAGAATTTGCCTATTTTTCAATGGCGTCAATAGACCTATAATTTTGTAAACGGTAAACACCTATATATCTACTCTAATTGTTATACTCTTTCCGTCTAAACTTAAATCAAATATTTCAGTTTACGATATTTAACTGAAGTTATTTTCAATGTAATTTATTACTCCCTCCGTCCCAAATTATAATGCATGTTCACTATTTACAGGGTCAAACTTCATTAACTTTCTTTCTCTATTTTCGTTAGCAATTTGATAAAATAAAGTACTATTGTCACTACTAGTTTTGTAGATCTTTTGATGTAGTATTTTAACTTTATACCATTTGTCATATAAAATGATTTGAAAATAATTTCAGTCAAACATCGTAAACCGAAACAGACACTATAAATTGGGACGGAGGGAGTAGAAAATTAGAGCAGAATTAAGAATAAAATTTACATATTAAAAAAGCACAGAAAATTAAAACTAAACGAAACAAGAGGTATCATGACTATATTTTTTTATCAAAAGAATAATAAAAATAAGATACAAAAAAGAATGAGATTTGACTATGTGAATATTAAACAAATAACCTAAATTGAGACAAAGGGAGTAATAAATTGATAAATACACAGATCCGGCCTTGACCTAGGGGTATGTACATGTAAAAATAGTATATTCAATATTTTTAAACCAAATACGATTCAATGGTTACATAAGATGTACTCCTTTTGTCCCATAATAAATTATAAATTGGCAAAATGAAAAAAATCTCAAGGTTTTCAAATTTTTTATATTTGAAGATTGACATAGGAAAAAAAACTTGCATATTTAAAAAATACATCAAAAGTTGTATAAAAAAGGTAACAAGAAAATTTTATTTTATCAAATAATCAATAAAAATCTACAAATAAACAAAAGTTGTCGTGGTTTTGGAATAGTGAACAGTTACGTTTAATCAATAGTGAGACAAAGAAAATATTTATTTTGATATAAATTCAATATTGTAGTCTTATTTAAATAATTTTTTATAATCAAATCTCGTGATCCACATGTAATTTTCATTGTTTTTTAATAAATATATCTAACATTTTCTTTTTGCCGAAACTTAATTCTATATTCTTTGAGAAGTCAGAAAATACTCTTATTCTTTGTTAGAAAAACAGTATTAATTCACAATATTTGTTTCGAATGCGACTTTGGACTTTTAATGGACAAAATGCCATTGGGCCATATGACTCATGAAATAGCCCAACTGAGAAATGCCGGTTTCTTTCTTCAACATATCTGATTGTATGTGATATAGTTCAATTAAATTTTGATATAATTATAATTATATTTAAAAATTGTTTCTGATCTTCTCTTATTCCAATAAGAATAAATAATATTTACCCCGTCCAAAAATTTCTTTTCAGGTTTGACTTGGCACAAAAATTAAGAAAAGTAAAAAAATGTAAAGATTTTTATGTGTTACCCTTGATGTGATCGAATAAAGTGAATAATATATAGAAAAAGTAGAATTATAATAGCACATATATTAGAAGTTTTTTGTCAGAAACGAGAGAGAAATTTTTGGATAACTCAAAAAGAAAAGTGAAAAATAAATTAATAGACGGAGGGAGTAAGTAAAAAGAATAAAGTTGCATTCTGTTTGTCCGATCGGATATGATCTGGATCTGATCTAATCTGAATGAAGTTATATTTAAAACTATTTCCGATTTGATTTTAGTAAAAATAATTACTCCCTCCGTCCTAAAATTAACTTCCCATTTGACTTTTCACGGTCTCCAATGCAACACTTTGACCATCAATATCTCAATTTTTATTTAAATATATTTTATAAAAATTATACTCCCTCTGTCACCATAGATCTTCCCAGACACTTTTCACAGGGTCAAACTTTACTCACTTTGTTTGCTCATTTTTACTAGTCATTTCGTAAAATAATACAGTCTTGTCACCTCTAGTTTTGTAGAACTTTTCATGTAGTTTATTACTATATAAATTTTATTTTAAATTTTTACTCCTATAATCAATTAAATTGAATTGAAAATAAAGTCGGTCAAGCCTCGTAACGCGTAATGAGAAGATCTTAGGCGGACGGATGAAGTATATTTCAAAACTACGTTTTAAAATGAATCTATTGCTAATAAATTTATATGAAAATTCAATGTATTTTTTCCGTAATATACGGTCAAAGTTTAAAAAGTTTGACTACAAAAGTCAAACTGGGAAGTTAATTTTAGAATGGAGGGAGTAATAAATAAAAAAAAATAAATTGTAAGGAGCAGATCCTAAATTGAGGAGAACAAAGTCTAAGTCTCCAGTAAGAATTTGAGCAATTCTCATCCCATTTCTCTGCTTTTCCACCGGAAATGAGATGAAAAATGTTTCACATTTTTAATTCACTCTTTCATGCCTTTCATTTACTTTCTACTTTTTTTCTTTCCTTAACTAACCAAATTAAAAAAAATCCATATCATTTTTTTCTTTTTTCCTACCGAATTCAACGAACCAAACAGAGTGTTAGATCACTACGACTATATTTGATTCAAGAAATTTGAAAGGAAAAAGAAAAAAAAATGAAATAGAAAACAATTTTTTCTGTTTGGTTAGAGGGGAAAAGAAATGAAAAGTGGAAGAAAAATTTGAAAAGACATGTACCAAGTGAATAGAAAACTAAATTTCTCCCATTTTGATGAGAAAAATGAAAGAAAATTATTTTCCTTTCCTTCCAAATTTCCTTGAACCAAACATAGTGTAAACGAACAAAACTATGGGCACAAATCTAGGACTACAAAGTTGATGTAAAGAAACAAGATTATATTGTGCCAAAATGTTTGTCCTAAGTCAATTTCTTTAAGTCAAATTGAATAAATTTCGATAATCAAATAATTAAAAATTACATTGCATTGTGATATAGTGCACAAATGATTTCATTATACTCAATCTGCAATATTTTTAAAAAATATTATTTATTGTATATATATGCACAATGCATATTTTATATAAAAAAATACTCTAAGACAAAGTAAATTTATAGCATTTGTGCTTACTCCATCCGTCCCGCAAAACAGTTTAACATTGGATTCGACGTGTTCTACTACAAAATGTAAAATTATGTTGTTGAAAAATGTGTAGAGGATAGATATAAAGGACACAGTTAAAAATAAAGTGGAACATTTTTTCAAGACAGACTAATTAGATGTGGAATTTAACAGAAGTAGGAGCAGTACACAATTGTGGCATAATGTTACTGGTTTGGCTGTGTGGGGAAAAAATGTGCCAAATCAAAGCATATATCAAGAACCAATATAGTACGGAGTAAAAAATTACCTGCTCAAGCAAAGCAGGAACACTATATGGTGATCAAAATGGAAAAAAAAGATGAATCTCATCTCAGGGCCCCAGAATAAAATCCTAGTCGAGACGGTGGGCCCACACTCGGGCGCGGGTCCTACAAGAACATCTTCACTTTCACAAGCTATGGAACATTTGTGTATTGTTTGATGATGAAACAAACAAAAATGACAGTTAGCTAAGCTTCTTGATGCTATAGACATTGCCAAAAACCCCCAAAACGCTAACGGTAATCGCCAATATCAACATGAACCAACACAAACTCCTCTCCGTATTGCTCAACCTGTTCCCTTCTTTGCTCAACCTTAGCGCAACGAGAGATGGGAATGTGAACCCCAACGAAACCGCGGTGGTGGCTCCCGTGAACTTGAATGCGGTCCAAATGTTGGGTACCACGGTCGAACCTAAGTATATGAGACCTAATAAAACCATGGTTAGAGCCAAACATCTCTTCCTACTCTCCGTGAGGGGAACACGGTCCTTGAAGAATAATGCGTCCACGGCTTGCCTCAAAGAGAAATGGATCACCGGGAAGACGAGGATCAAGTGGAAGACGTACCCCACGCGGACAATGTAAGTCAAAGCGGAGCTAAACCGAATTCCGAGATCTTTATCGAAGTTAGTCAACACATCAGACTCGGTTTCCTTCCCGAAGAGCAAATACCCGGAGATTGCGGTCGATGCATAGACGAGGACGCAAATGACCGTCGTGACCCTCCCCACTCGATACATCTTTTGAGGGGAACGCCCTTCGAGCTCGTTATAAATAGGTGGGACATTAAAGTGGCAAACATACGCATTTGTCATTACAGGAATCACCACGAACAAATCCAATATTGAATTTTCGGACCCGAAATTCGGGGTCATTTTAGGGATTTCAATTTTGCCCTCGACGAATTTAACAAAAGCTACAAAGATAGCAACGAAAACAAATATCACGGCAAGGGCAACAGACGCAGCAGATGTCAAGCTCAAGGAATCGATCTTGTCCAACGCGCAAAGCGGGGCGAGAAAGATCACGAGAAAGATCAAAACCACAACTTTCCTATGATCCCAAAAACCATGGCCTAGCCATTGATCAAAGACACCAATGTGGTGAAGAGAACCAGACATGACATCTCCAATTATGATAAGATAAACAACCAAGACGCCCGCATTGTTAACAATTATGCAAATCTCAGAGACGATCCTAGCAGTCTTACCCATGGCAGCCTGGACGACGTCCCCATAAGATATCCCATTGCACTGAACAGAGAAACGGATGAGCAATTCAACGCTGATTTCAGACAAGACGCCGATCAGGATGATGAGGAGGAACCCTAGAATCAATCCTAAAACCTTCATCGCGGCCGGCAATGCCATGATTCCGGCGCCGACGATGGTCGTGGTGAGATTGAAAACAGCGCCGTGAATGCCGGATCCGGATTTATTCCCATCGCCGAAAATAAGAGGCAGATTGTCGAAATCGATGTCATCGTCTAGCTCCGGATCGTCGGGATTGACCCGTTTCAGGAACCCGTTTTCTCGATCTAAATCGGATTCAAAGTCTCCGTCTTTCAGCTGCAGCTCCACGAACCCATCCTTGGGAGGAACAGCTGAATAATTACTGTCCATATGCGGATCCGATCCTCACACATTCATCAGCGTAATCGAGAAGTCAAACGCGGATACGATTGCAGGAAAATATGAATCGAGAACCGAGCGGAGATATAGGGTTTGAAATTGAAATTTTTTTTTTTTTTAAAAAAAGGAATCTTTCAGGGTTTGAGGAAATGGATTTGAAGAGAGATGGAGAGGAAGAACACTTCTGCGGATCTTGGATTACAAGTCAATGAATATGGGAGGGATATCATATGTTCCCGGCCTCCCGGAACTCTCGTTCTTAAATTCAATTCAACATCATCTCTCTCTCTCTCTCTCTCTGTTGCATTCCTTCCTCTTATTTTGACTACGCTCACTTAAAGAGGATGAGTAATGCTAGAGCATGCACTCTTTTCCTTTTCCTTCCAATTTAAGGAGTATAATATTATTTTTTAACATTGTTTTAAATTTATTTTTATATTAATAATTTAAATCGAACATCCTCTTGAAATTAAATTAAAAGTAAACTAAAATAAATTCGTACATTAAAAAATTAAAACACAACACAAATATTGATACACAATTAAAAATACAAACATAATCATCATCTACAACTAGTGGAGCGGAATTTCACAAATGTTCTACCAAATCGGCACATAGATGGAGGTGTGTATGCCGGTTATGTAATGCAGACAAGTTCAAGTCTCGGCGTGCAACATCCACCGGTTTGATGTTCTCAAGAATGTCATTCAGATCGTATTCGTATATCATGCTCCGCTCATCTTCAAAGATCATGTTATGTAATATAATAAAATCATACTTATTTTTTTTGTTACCACACACGAGTCGGGTTTTGGACAATATGTCATCTCTACTTTAGAGCTCCAGACACTTGTTTTGTACCTTTGCTTGCCGAATCTTGGTATTTGGCAAATTCTCGATGTTACAGTATTAATTTTACGATAGAGAGACACACATGTTATATATTGTCAGCAGTATAATATTTATGTTTGTATCCCACCCCTAAAACTGTGAACAAAGTATGAGGTCTGGTACCCTGAATGGTTTTGTTGAAAATGTTTGATTGGCCGATAAAATTTAAGTTGTTGTTCGAACTTACAACACCAAAGAAAGCATGTCAAATCCAAATATCTTGTAACACCTCAATCCGTATAACCCGGAATTACACGAATTAAGGTGAAACGAGAGTTAAATAAAAATTTCGCTTGACATTCGAAAATGACAATTACTTATAAATATTAAATTTACATACTCTGGATCGCGACCCATTTAAAAATATTTTCAGAGTAATGCGGAAGTACAATAATAATCAAATCATGACACATTTTAAAATCTGATGATCAAACATTTGCCTGCCATCGTTGCATCTCCTCTGACTCAACGCCCTCCGGAAATGATTCCATCATTGTCTTCTTGTTACCTACGTGTAGTCAACGAAAAATACAAACTACACGCTCAGCGAAACCGCTGAGTGGTACCACGCTAGAATTGTAGAATAATTCATAGACATATACATATACATATATACGTCCACAAAATGTATAATAATATTCATGATATGGCACATTATATCGTATGTTCAATTTGATGATTTATGATGGTGGACATTTGATGATGATTACCTGATGACATATTTAATCAGTATAATTATTCTTGATGATGATTACATGACACCTATGTAATCAATATAATTATTCTTGATGATGATTACATGACACCTATGTAATCAATGTACTTGATGATGATAACATGATGCATGATTCTAACGAGCAAGGACACCCTTGCGTTATGAGATTCGCCCATTTGGTACGACGAACTCACGCGGCCTTAGTCTCACGAATGAGGTGAGACTAGAAAAATATGGGTGGTACTCGAAACCTGAATACCATGTACGTACACTAAGCCCGGAACGGGTGATGTCGGACTAGTAAGTCCCGCACATCACGCTATAAGAGACGCAATTACGCATGATCTCTTACGCATGCATATGATTTGATATGCTACAATATGTGTGATGAAATGAATGATATGACATGAACAATTTGTAAACAATATGAATATATAATCATGCATTAGTTTATTTGGATGAAACATGATTAAAATATCATTTAATTAAGCTACGGGGCTCGGAACAGTCGACCGTTTGGCGCGACGGTCGACCTTGATCTTCATCAGGTCGGATTGGAGATTCACCGTGACGGTCGACCGCGGTTGACCGGCGGTCGACCGTTGTTGACTAGAGGTGGACGACGGCACTTGGCTGGACAGGCGACGGTCGACCGTTGGCCACCGGCGGTCGACCGTTGGTCTGACAGTCTTGTTCCGTTTCGATTTTTAACACGACGGTCGACCATTTGCATCGACCGTTTAGGTCTGCGAACCTTTCTCTTGATATTTTGAGTGTCCAAAATACTTCTTTAAGTCTTTTAAGCACCTTTGATTAACATATACATATTGTTGGGTTGATTTCCAAAGTTTAAATTTAATTATGTGTATATTAACTTTATGGATTTGGTGTATTTGGATCTCAACATATAGATAACTTATATATGCATCACATATATATTTTGGAATGGTTTTAACATATGAAACAACATATATGTTCATGTATGTATGTAATGAATGATTCGATAAGTCTAACGCAAAGGTACAGACCTGGAAATCATCGGCCGAAACCTTACGGATGAGCGGGAGTGAAAACAATATCAAAATTCACCAACTTTGTCATTCCCGTCACAATTGGACAGCCTGCGGTATTTTGAGCATATCTCCATCGTTTCTTCACGGAATCGCAAACCGTTTGATTCTGTGGATTCATAAGACGTAAGGCTATAACTTTCGTATAGAAAGTATTTCGTTTTAACATATGTAAGATAGCGTAAATCGGACCTGAAGTCACTAGAAAGTTGCTGTCCAGAATTTCGGGTATGTCGATGAACATGATTCCGACGATTAACTCACTAACTTCAACATTCCAACGCCGAACTTTCTTTGCAATACCTTCCGGATGTTCCTAATAATTGTTAGAGAGTTTATG